ATATATATAATAGTTGGGATAGATATACAGCTACTTTCTCTTAGTTCATTGAGAAGAAAGATTTGTATTAATATTGTTTAGACAAGATATCATGTGTGCATCTTGTCCTCTGAATAGCTACTATGAAGACAATATACACTGTATTAATTATTGTACCTGTCCTACTTATCTGTTTGAAACTGTTTCATTGCTATTTTATTTTCTTTCTCATTAAAGTGAACAAAAAATCCCAAATAAACAGTATTCTGCAGGAAGACAAGATAAGTAAAACTCATGAAGGCATAGCATAATTAAGAACTTTCTGAACAGAACCATAGATGAGCGCAAAATAGTACTGAGAACCAACCCATGGAATCATATCAAATTAAAATGCTTCTTCATGGACAAAAGTTCAACAAGTTGAAAAGACACCCTACAGAATAAGACAATACCTTTGCCAACTTCCATATATGGAGGACTAGTATCTAGAATATATAAACAAATGAAAATCAGATCCCATATAAAAACCCAATTAGAAAATGGGCTGGTGAAATGAGTAGGCACTTCAGAGAAGTACACATGGCTAGTGAAAACATGAAGAAATGTTCAATATTGCTAACCATTGAGAAATGCAACTTAAAACAACATAGATTCTGTATTATCAAGATAAAATGGCCACCATCAAAAAATCAAATAATAATTAATGCTAGCAAAATGCTGTGGAGAAAAAGGAACTCTCCCACATTTTTGGTGGAAAGGTAAACTAATACAACTATTGTGGAAATCACGTTGGAGTTTCCTCAAAAAAAAACCTGAAAATATTTTTTGACACTCTATTCCCTTTTCAAGTATATTCCTGAAAAGGTTAATGACATCATGCTACAGTGACACATGCATTCTCATTGATAGCACAATTCATAATATATAAACCTGGGAAAGGACCTACACGGACAGGTGATCAATAGAGAATGCTTGACTTTTACATACAATGAAGCTTTATTCTGCCCCAAAGATAAACTTGAGTTTATCTTTGTGTATGTAAGAAAATGTATGAATCTTGAGACAATAATGTTAAGTGAAATAAGTCAGACACACATTTAAATAATGCGTGGTTTCTTGTATAGAATCATAAAAGTATAAATGAAAAACAAAACAAAGTGTAGATAATAAGTGGGTAGATAGATATTTTTCAAAGAAGATGGAGACCAAGATTTGGAGGGAGGAGAGATGGGAGAGAAAACATAAGGGATTGAATATGCTTTATGTCCATGAACCAATTCCACACAATTAATATGAACATTATGCACTGCAAACATGTTCTAAAAAATCATGGGGGTCAAGAGATGCATGAACTGAGGAGAAAGGAAAGGAATTAAGAACATTACATGTGTTATGTAAATGTATCAGCTCTCCACAAGGAATGTAAACATTATGTACTAATAAAGAAAAAGTCCTGAAGAAACATACTGTGGCCTCTTTCTAGGAGACTGAGGGCTGGACCAATTACACTGCACTCTCTTCTCTCAAGTTAATGGAAATGGTTGGATATTGACAGAAGCAAAGGCCCATATTTAGCTATGTCTGGAGTGCATCACTGAAAGCCAGACACTTGGTGCAAGATCTTTGGAATAGCTATAGATTCTTTTTAAGATACTGTAATCAACTTGCAAACTTCAGTACATACACATGTGAACACATACCACACCCACATAGAAAAATGAATCATGAGGAGATAAGGGAGCTATATGTGTCCAAATACTCCCAAATATCCCAAAGCTTACCTATGGGTCATCAATGGGAGTAGGACTCAGAAGCCACACAAAATTATTCAAAACCATAAAGGAGATTAAAATAATGAATAAAGTCTTCTGTGAATTCACATAAGAGATATCAACACAGGTAATAGATCTAAAAACAAAGTTATTAGAGTTTATAGAAGGTACTAGTAAGCTAACAGAGTTAAGCTTGTGAGCTTAGACATAAAATGACCAAAGACATAAGTGAACAGTTTAATAAGGAATTGGAGAAATCAATTCCATGAAAAGACACCAAAGAGAAATCCAAGAGTTTAAAAATTCTACAGGCAGTTGAAATGACTGAGAAGAGAACAGAAGATCAGAACTAGAAGGGGTTGATATTGGCAACCATATACTCAAGAGATACCTTAAAAATGACATAACATAAAAAATGAATTTAACAGCTGCTTGATGACACAAGGACTTTTAAATTTTGTCTCCCTGGAAATCGACAGAGTCAAAGAGAGTTGCCTTTCTCTCATTCCTGCTGACACAGGCATGCAATTTCTTAATTGGATAGTGGAGCTGAGTTGTTACTGACATATGAAAGCACCAGATTTCATTCTCTGCATTCAGTCTAGAAGGGTTTTAATCACCATTTTCTATGAAAACAAGCATCTCAAATGCTGGTCTGTTAGAGACCAGCAGGACAGAGAGCTGAGATAAGGAGGCAGGGAAACACTTTCGAGGAAATAGGTGGAATCTGAGTTTATTCCTGAGAATACAGAAGCTGGGAGGACTCACATAACTGAAAATTACCCTTTTATGTAGTTGAGTAAAATCCCCATATTCTCTGAACTTTCTCTTCTTCAATTGGAGTGGCATAGGAGCCAAGTCCTCTAGTAGTGATTGCTAAAGCTAAGTACAGAATGTGTGGTAGAAGCAGCTGACCATTTTGGAAAATGCTAGGAGTTGGATTTCTCTCTAAACATTAAAATTGTGTTCAAAATCAACTTAGTGTGTGATTACATCTTTGCCTTTCTTAGAAATTTCTAGGGGATCTTTCTCAGTTTTCTAGTATAAAGTACTGTTTTAATTGAATTCTTGATTTATCTTCAAGAGAATTAATTTGTGAATAGAAGTTCACTCAGTGTGTTTGTTGCAAGTGAGATATCAAGAGCCTCATATTGTGCATAGATGCTGATGGTTCCCTTCTCTTTAAAAATACTGAAAAGAGATTGAAGCCATTTTAAGAGAGCTCACATAGTCATAATTATGCAAAAATGTATACAGCAAAAGTAAGAATATATAACTTTCTGGAAAAGAAAAAGCTGAAGAAAAATCAGTCGATTGATATCTTGTGACTCAATAGTGAATTAATTTATATAATCATAAAAGCTATAACATTGAATGCTGATCTTTCCAACATTGTTGTTTAAATTATTAAAGGTAGAACAAAATAGGAAATGCATTTATGAAAATTAAGGATGGAAAAGTGATTTCTCATCTTTGGTCATTGGAAGTGCAGAGAAAATCCTAACACTGGAAAAGAAGAGGGATCAATATAAGTAGTTGAATCACATGAGGGATTTAGTTAATATTATAATTCAAATTCAGTGTGTCTTAGTAGGATCTGATCCAAGATGACTCGCATTCATACTTCACAGACTTCACAATGAATAGGAAGTTTTGGAGAACAGGAATAAATGCTAAGATACTTGTTTGAAAGAAAGGAAGTATTGTCCCTGAGATAAAAGTTAAGGTACAGATGAAGACACAAAGCAGCTATTTTTCTTAAGAAGCATTATACATGGAAGACCAAAAAACTCCATCAGGAAACTCTTAGAATTAATAAATTCAGTAGCATACCAGGACAACAAAAATTAATAACATTCTTCTACACAGACAATAGGCTGACTGAGTGACAAATTAAAGAAACAACATGTTTCATAATAGAATCCAAAAAAGAAGAAATAGTTAGAGATTAATCTAACAAAGGAAGTAAAATGTCTATACAATGAAAATTACAATACTCTGAAAAAGAAATCAAAGAAAATGAAAAGATATTCCTTGTTCTGGATAGGTAAAACCAATATTGTAAAAGTGGCCATACTCTTAAAATTGTTATATACATTTAACTGAATCTCTATCAAAATACCATCAATACACTTCACAAATCTAGAGAAAATGTTCCTGAAATATATTTGGAATGAGAAAAGACCTAGAATAGCAAAGTCAGTCCTAGACAACAAATGCAAGGCTGGAAGCATTGGAATCCCCGACCTTAAACTATACTATAAAGCTATGGTGATAAAGTTAGCATGGTACTGGCAAAAACAAAAACAAACAAACAAACAAGACAGACCCAAGGATTAGTGGAACAAATTAGAGGTGCAGATACAACTGCAAACACACTTAGCCATCTTATCTTTGACAAAGGGCCAAACATGTTCACTGGAAGAAAAATAGCCTCTTTAATAAATGACCCTGGAAAAATTGGTTCTCCACATGCTGAAAATTACAACTAGACCTGGGTCTATTGCCATGTACTAAACTAAAGTCAAAATGGATTAAAGATCTAAACATTAAAACAGAA